CCGGCACCATTTCAAAGGTATGATGGTTTTCCATGTTAAGTTTGAGCCCGTGATACAAATACTAAATTGTACTTTGATTACTTTATTATTAAATATAATATATTACAGAGATGAGAAAGAGCTTTTACTTCCATTCTTTTGGTTACCTGTCATCTGTCGCCGGTGACAGCCCAACGCAACGTTGCCAAGTAACACAGAAACTTACAATTAAATACACATCATACCACATAACCTATTGGAACGGCTCTTGCATGAACATTCCTACAAGTTTACTGGTACCAGTGTCACCGCGCTTTTACTGACATGTATGTTTCCAGCTCTATATGTAAATTTAAAATCACTTTACTTTAAATAAGCATCAACAACCATCGAGTATTTATGGAAAATATTGTACAGGTATAACTTGCTACCGGCAAACTGTTTATTTAAAATTGTTTTTTTTATATTAATAACTGAATGTTGGACATCCATTTCGTCTATTATTAAACTTGTATATACAATTCCGTTTTATTTATTTAGATTTCATGAAATTCCTTTGTTAAACTTGTGGCAAATGTGCACAGATTGTTCCTGAAGTTCAGCTATTTTGTAACTATTTCATAACTTTTTTTTATTTGCAATTAATGTGTCACGACTACCTGGGGTCATTGACACATACACAGTTTACAGAAGATGTTACAATATTCAATACAAATATGCATAAACAATAAACTTTTAGGCAAGTAACAAAAAATAAATAGTCAGTTCCACTGGTTTAAATTAATTTGAGTAAACATAGTCTTCTTAAAAATACAATTAAATCTGTTCAGGAAATTTAGAATATTTTTTAGATTGCGTTTCAGGTTATGATCCACTTGGCACCCTGACTACCAGGTAACAAGGACCCAGCACAACAATATCTGCCAGTCTATGGCATTATATTCCAATATATTGGAAATCTCTCTTTCATTGGACAGTTCTATTATGTCATTATCCTCTAATAGGAAATTTTCATATTGCCCATTTAGTAGTTCACTAAAATGTCTCTCCTGATTCTTTTGAATCGTAATTCTGCTATCCGCTTTCAGTTTTTTAACTTCTTAATAAAACGACTGTATTTATTTTTTCTGAAATAAAACCCGTAAAATGAGTTTTGAAACACAATTCAGATTTCTGCTTTAATCTGTGCTTTCTAAAAATTGCAAAGCAAAACAGACGTTGATGAAGGTGTTAAAACTAAAAAAAGGTCACTTTTTTTTACTTTTTTCACTTCAAGGTTTCACTTTTTTCTGAAATCTTTCTTCTATTTCTTGTAATATTTTTTAGTTATATTCTTTTATTTCATTTACTTCTTTGACCTTTGTAGCTCTTATTCAGACTATTATTGTTAATTATTAAACTCTTTATTTCATTGATTTAGCTTTTCTATATCATATCGATTTTTCCTCTTAGAATTTGTTTTTCCCATTTCTTTATCTTTGTCCACCATTCTACATATAGCTCTAGCCAGAAAATGGTTCGACTCTTTCGACTCCTCATATTTCTTATAAATTTCATGTAGTTTTCATCAATACTTCCATCGGAAGACATCCAGGTTGCCGTATGTATTTCATTTCTTTCTAACTGGGTGCACCAGTAGCGCACCTATAATTTTCCTCTGGGAGGTTTTGGTTGGGCACCGAAATTTTTTTATGATGTTACCTCCATTTTGAGTCCTTAAAATTTGGAACAGTGTCGTAATAGGGTCCTGGAGGGGTTTAACCCCCAAAACTCCCCTGGGTGCGCCAGTGCTTCTAACTTCCATGTTTTTCCATTGCAAAACTGATTAATTCTGGCCACTACAATTTTTCACTTGATGCTTGCTATTTATTCCAGCTACTACGTTATACATCCATCCACTTTTAACTTTCTGTAGTTAAATCTGCATGATCTTTGTTCTAATTGTTGGATGTGAGACTGCTTGGATGAATACTACTTGTATTTCCTGCAGTTCATTGACTTTATGGTCCGATTTGATTAAGGAAGTTTGTTTCTTTTGTAGTATTAGTATTACAGTAGTACTTATACTACTAGAACCTCTGAATTCAAGTATAAAACGTTGAAAAGATGAAAATGGCTCCAAATAGTTGTAACATTTAAAAATATATTTAGTAATCAAGAGAAAACATTAAGTATGCCTTTATATTATATACTATTCAGAATAATCTGTTCACATAAAGTTATCTCATTGATCAATTAGAAATGTTCCTACGTTGTTCATCTCACTCGACTGAACTATTTAGCGTGTACTATAGTGGTTGTTCTAAGAAATCGTCGAAACTATTCATCATTCTACACTACCCAAGTTTGAATATATGTTTAAAGGGTATATTATGTATATGTATTTAAATAGTTAGAAAAATAAAACAAAAATTATGTATCGAAATGGTTATGGAAATTTTCATAAAAATCTCTATTTAAATATCCATTACAATTATCCCTAAGCATAATAAATAACCAAAAATAACAGGTAAAACAGTTAGTAGTAAACAGAGAGAATGCTCTTTTGAGATCATCTACATTTTACCAGCAAAGAATCCAACTACCTAAGAATATCTGTTTTGGCTTAATTCATGAAAAGTAAAAATTTATCTTTTCTAAATATATATTCTGTCAATGATATACGAAATTCTTTTAAAGAAAATACAGTAAAATCAGCGATTGTAATTGGCTATGCCAAAGCCATTATACAATAAAAAAAAAAGACTGTCATTCATATTGTACATTGTTATGTTAAACTTATTGAGGTGTTGACTTTTTTCTTGCTTATTTCTCCCGTCTTTCTAGCATCGATAACAAATTTTAGAATTTTTTATATTAACCAAATGCCATATCATCAGTTTACTGATGAAAATATCAGTTGACTAATGATTGGTTGCGAGACGCGCAACCTCAACTCACTGGACTTCATTCACAGGCAAAACGATTTTAAGCTCTGCATTTATTTAGAGGCATTATTCATGTACAGATTTAGTTAAGATACGAAATAGTATGAATAATACATGAGAAATAATTGAATTCAAACTTGGTTAGCGTAGAGTACTTCATTCTAGCTCATGTAATATCCGATATTAATGACTGTAGGATATTTTATAGACAAGTTTAATTAGATTATTAGTACAATAAATCATTGTTGCATTTCGTCGATTACTGTGTATGTGATATATGTATTGAAAATATACAGGACATACTCAAAATGGCTTTTATTTCTATGTAAAGTGTCCCTGTTCCTAGCAAAACATTTTATTCCTGCTTAAAATATAATACACTGAATCATAAAAAACTGTTGATAAAATCAAAGATTACCACCTAGAAGTAATGATCGAATCCTTGCTGTGAAAACCTTTTATGCCAAGCTGGAGGGAAAGAAGAGCTGATGGGGGACATATACACAAATAACCAATTTATCGTCACTGATGTGATAATGCCTCCTATATACTGTAACATGAGTTTTGTATGGTAAAACTGTCTAAGGGTCACCTGTTTTTCATGATATTTTTGACTTGTTTTGTAGTAAATTCATGTAAAAGTCATGTTCCAGAAAAAATCAACTAACAGTTTTAAAATTAGTTTATTGTAGTTAGGAGGTATTGTCAGAACATTTTCTACAGGTAGGAGGTATTGCATGGATATTATTTTGGTTCTATATTGGCTGAAAGATTTTGTTTAATTGAAATTGGAAAGATAATAAAAAATGTTTTACGCAACATTAACAAATGCAAAAATGACATAAGATCCTTAATTTATAGGAAAGTAAGTCCATAATAGACATTAAAATCGTTAGTAATTAGTTTTTGTAAGTACATCAATTTCTTCTTTGTTCATTTCCAAACAGGTTAACCATTAATGGCCTAATGAGCCATCCTCATTTCTTCTGTGAACTGTCTGCAGTTTCTCTTTTTAGAGGATTTTTCACTAAACAGAAGTTTAGACCCACATGTAGGTGGCAATTTTCTTTCATCCCTTTTGGTATTATGCCTCTTTGTCTCTATTGAACCCAACGTAAGTCTGGAGCATTTTATTTTTATCTCGCTTCCATTCACTTTGAATCTGCATTCTTCTTTCTTCATCCATATTTCCATAATCAGGAAGGATCTCCAGCCATATCATCATCCTCTGCGTTGGATATCTTTTTACTTTTAGGCATTATCAACTGAAGTCGGAAGTGTCGTTAATGTTTTCATCTGCATTTCATCATTACATTTAATGTTATTAATGGCTTCTAGTTGGACAATACCTTCAAAATTATCTGAATCTTCTGTTCAGAAATTAAAACTTGTACTTGGTTCTTCATAAATAACCAATGGCATTTGTTTATTTGAAGTTTCGTCAAAAACTCCAGAGTCTGTCATTTTATCTATTTTTTTTTATATTTTTTGTGTTGAAGAGTTAAAGAATCCTGGCAGCTTTGGACACAGGATACCTGTATTTAAAAAAAAATGCTTTCAGAAATGTGTAATAATAGAATATGCCATACGAATGCATCAGGTTGATATTAGTATACATTGATTGCATACATTGTACTTGCATGTTTTCCATCAGTATTATTATTGGATAAAACACAATAAAATTATTCAGATGGTTTAGTTTTAAACATTCATTAGGCCGAATTAGGAACTTTGTTCATATGAACATTCAAGAAGTTACAATTGAGATAGGAAGTTATGTCAGCTGTTTTCACATACAAGGATATAGGAGGTATTGCTTCAGACAGAATATTCACTGTTAATACTTTTTTAGAGAGAATTCACCAATTTTCATGCAAAAGTGTAGGTAGGTATTGTCACGTCACCGACATTATACAAGAAACTTTCTAAATGCCTACAATCTGATCATCACATAACTTTGAAGAAAAACTAGAACAGGTCCTAGATATCAAGCATACATAAAGGAGCTTCACTATTAAGTCCATTTTATATTTTTTACTACATAAATGTGTTTATTGAGGGTCTTACATGCCAGGAAGGAAAAATAATACAAAATATTGATAAAAACTTTATTTGACTCAATTGGTTTTATTTTCTCTAATATTTTTCTTAAGATCTTCCAACTGTTTCTTCACCTCATCAATTTCTTCTTCAGTTATTGTAATCTCAGCTCCACATTCCTTCTGCTCATCTCTAATGAACTGCAAAGCCCGAATTTTTTCTTCTAAAAATGCTGGTTGTTCAGTTTCCAACTTTAACCTACAACAAATCTAAAACTAGTACTGTAATATAAAAGATAATAGTGATAGACAAACCTATATTGCTTTAATCTGTCCTCTTTAATACCATCACAATATTTATCTGTAAGCTTCCTTAAGGACTCTTTTCTTGTAATCCAGTGAAAATGATTAGGTGGTGGTTTATATACTATATCCAAAGTTTCCAGCAACCATTCAAATTTTTTATAATCCCACCTTCTTAAATATTTCAAGTGCTTCTTTCTCCTGTCTATTAGTTCTTTTAAAGTAACCTTTGTCTTTTTGTTCCTTGGAAATCTCTCCATTACTTCTTGCATGGCTCTAATAATACCTGTAAGAATTATAGCAAAACTAGTGATAAAGAAGTTAAAAGAACAAACAGGTGCACTGATAGTATAAATATTTAACTTACCAGTCCATCTAGCTATTCTGGTTTCTACGGTACTATAATCATGCTCATGCCTCCTAACTTTTTCCATCATATTGTATTGAAACAATCTGGAACTACAGCTCCTTGGAGCAAACTCTAATGTAAACAATTTTTTAACATTGTCATCTGCAGTTTGCAATTCTTTGGAATCGCGGAATTGCAGTTGAAATTGTTTCTTATCTATATCGGGATATCCTTGTAAGTCTCCACTTTTCTGAGGCTTGAAACAAGGTATTTTTTCTGGTCGTACCCATTTGATTTTTAAATCGCTTTTAAAAGCGTAGTTCCTAGAAAAAATATTTGGTATATTGTTAATACATACCGATAAAAATGAATTGTTATGTAAATATTTTAAGCCATTCATTTCTATTAAAAAATCATTTAATGTTATTTGATGGTTAATACTTAGGTTAGAATGACATTGATCATTCTTCTTTCTGCCTTAAATGAAATAGGAACAATCGCACCTCTTTCTATTAAGACAGATCTTATATTGAGATAAATGTTTATTTAGATTATAAAATTAATATTTAAATACTAAATAATTTAATATTTATTTATAAATATTACTGTTTATTAAACGAATTGAGATTAATCAAGAAAATTAAATTGTTTTTAGTTGTATTACTTGTATATTCAAGTCCTTAAATTTATCTGTGACACATGACACTAGCAATTTATTTGTCTATTATTCTTGGTGGGGTAACGAAAAATACAGTTTTTTCTTCATTACTGTAATGTTAGAAAATATTTTTTTATGTACTTTAGTATATAAAAAGTAAAATAATTAGTTTAAGTCTATTTAAGTTTAAAGACCCTCGTTTGCAACAAACACCAAAATGTCCACAAATTCTAGTCCAACCCATTACACAGAAGATGCATTTGTCAGTGATGCTAATTTTAAAGTTGGAATTAATCAAAAAATGAAGGTTCCCGACAGAATTAGTTTTGCAACAGATCTAAACGGCGACAGCAGAGGTTCATGGACCCGGGACAATTTGAACATGAACGTCCCAGAAAGGATATTAGTGGCAGGTCAACATCAACATGTTGGTAGGTAATTTTTTTAATAGCAACAATAATAATACCACTGTACCAGTTACTCCGGTTGATATGTATTTTTAATGACATACATTTTCAAAAATAACTTTATGAAGTAAAACCTATTTCAGGAAAATAGCAACTCAAATGTCAGGATTACTTAATTTAATTTCATATTAATGACTTTTTTTCTGAATTTAAATGGTTGTTTGTTATTTTACGCAATATGGAATATCATAGGTAAGAGTCTTAGTTATCTTCAAATTGAATACAATTTAATCTTGGATTTGATATACCTATAATAATATTTTACATATTTTATAATCAGCAACAACAAAACTAAGATAAGTATAATAATATTGCTGTAATTATGAAATCCCTTTGCTCCCCTTGCTTTATGGAGAAATTAACTAAAGTTAGTAGTTTGTTATAGGTTTTTATGGCTCTGAGTGATTTTGTAAAAGACACTTGTATGATGTGGAATGATATGAGTCTCTCTATTGCTAGTAATCAAACTTATATAGTGGCTATTCATTATAATTTGTAGAAAAAATGCCTTTAGCACAGAAATATATGTTCAATATGTTCTTTTCTGTACAATGAAAATACTATTTGCGTTTGGACTTTGGACTTTTGGTCTCTAAAAGATTATATTATAAATAATGATAGATGGCTCTTGTGCTGTATTATTAAACTATTTACAGACATATGCTCAGTTAAATACCCTATTAAACCACAGATAGAAACTAGATGTCAATCTATTGATATGGTTATTATTTGTAAAAATATTATCTACAAGAGAACCTCTACCCCTGTGATTGCATCTAGTGACTGTAGAAAACTAGAAAATTTACACCAATATCTCTAAATACTTTAATTTGTATTTATTACCTTTATCTGCTATATAATCCTTTATCATACTATTCTTCACATTTTTTACCTCATAAACATATAGCCAGATTTTTTAATGTACTCTAATAAAGCCTCTATTGGCATTTTCTGAACTAGGGGGAAATATATGGTTTAATTTGGCTCATAAATTTACACCTGTCATTGAAAGGTTTTAAACAAACCTTTAATATCAAGTTGGTATGTTTCCCTTCAATTTTTCAAAGGGGAGAGTCTGCATCTGAACATGACATGGCTCTTAACATTATTTGTAGATACAAAAAATCTTTCTGGATATACTTGATCAAACCACAGATCTTGTAGCTTGTACACTTGTATACATATTACACCTAACAACAATATTTACAAAACACTGGTCACAAAGTCCTTTATAAGCCTATTTTACAATTTCATGTCATCAAAAGGAACCTCATGAAAAAGAAGAATGCATATTTAAGGGTACAAATCTAAATTGTTTAAAAATAAAAAGCAGTTGTAAAGAAAGTTGTGTAGTTCCTATATTTAAAAATATTCAGAAAGACTACATTGAAAATTATCATAGCATTTGTATACAATCTGCAATACTTAAGCTCTTTTACTGTCTTCAGCAAAGCAATTTTTTTAGCTCTGTAAAGTCTTAATATCCCAATCACAACATGATTTTCATAACAAAATATCCACTGCAACAAACTTGATTAGCTATCAATCTGATATATTATCTCAAATGGAAGACCATAAACCAATATACAGATTTTTCCAAAACATTTGATCATCTTCCATGTCAAATTTGTTGAATGGATTAAAAACTCTACATCTTGTAGAAGTCACAGAGCCAAGATAGGTTGTCATCTGTATGACAGTATCTCAGTAACATCTGGAGTTCCTCAAGGTAGCCACACTTCTCCGCTGCTTTTTAATATCTCCATTAACTATCCCACTACAGGATCACTATGTTCATAACATAGTTAATCAAACTCACATTCATACACGTGTACATACATTTAAAATTAGGAGAATACATGCATGTAACAACATAGTTGTTATTTGAAAAAATATATTTGAAATATATTTGAAAAAAAAAAGTAAACAAGGTGAAAGCAAATCAAAATTACAAAGGTTATGAACAATAGGTTTTCGTTTTATATTTTCATTTTTTCTTTTAGTTTACTTTTTAAAATTTTTATCATTTATGACCTACATTCAAATTTGTTTCTATACTCCTGATTAGTATTCTTTTAAATTATAAATAAATTAAATTTGTCAACAAACATTGTCGGATATAAATAAGATAAAGACTATTTTTAATTGGAAAAATGTTTTACTTATCATTTAAATAGATTAATTAGATTGATTTATTGTAATCATTCTGTATCAAGGTTTATATAACTATTGAAATGTTTATATTAGTCCAGTCCTCACAAATAAGATCTCTAAAAACGAGACAAACAAACTGAATTTTACTGGGAATGTAAATTTTGGGACCTCAAGAAGGTGTAAAAAAGTTTGCCACTCCTACAACGGGCTTACCCTAAAACACCCCACGAGTGGGCGGGGAAGGAAATGGAATACATCGATATACCAAGAATGTGTATGCTGAGGAAAAAAAGTTTCAAAAAAGAAATGTAGCTGACATAATTTTGAACAAAAACGTTTATTAGCACTTTTTGTGTAAAATGATCTGTTGTCTCAGAAACAACGCTTAAAGCAACCGGTGATTTTGAATGTCAGCTATACTTGCAAAATCAATTTTTTGAATAAAATTTATATCAACATGATGGTAAAATTAGATATCTTTTGATCAGAGTGCGCTATCAACAGAAATTAACATGGGTTTTAAAGGTAAAGAGTGCAGCTTTGATATATAATTTTTGTATTTTGCCGCAAATCAAGTCATTTTCTATAAAGTTGTTAAATAAATGTATTGCTTCTATTGACCAGTCACTGGTCAATAGAAAAAATATGAGGCGTTTGAAATATGTCTAAAAATTCCTGAATTTAATCTTACATTACAAATGGTCAAACGCAAATTGACATTCTCAGCAAAATTCAGCTTGTTCAGTGGCATTTTTGTCTCAAACAACTGGCCTATATTGATTATTTTTAATTGATATATCATATTTCATCTTTTTTTATAACATGTGGCTTTAGATTATACTGTGGAGCTTTAGTAGTATGTAGTATGGAGTGAAACTTTTAATTCCATACTGAACTTCTTTATTTAGCGATTTATTATATATATTATTTCTTAATTAGCGAAAATATACAAAAAACTTGTGTTAAACCTCAAAAACTATAAGGCGCTTAGGTGATGCAGGACTTTTTAACACCACTGTATATCCACCCTTGTACCTTTTCCTCCCTACAAGGTGTCTCAGACTTATCATAAGAAAACATTTCCTTTCTTCCACTTGGTATAATCCCAAAAGAAAAGTTTTAGTAAACCTTTGATCAACAGTTTAAATACCAAAGAAGAAATCTACAATAAAAAAATTAGCGGAATTTTTGCTAGTACAAAACTTTTGCTGTTAAGTGTATATGCTTGACGGTGTCAATGACCCAAATATTAATTACAAATAAAAAAATTCTAGTTTATACTAAATCTTCTCTATTTTCCTCTTTCAGGTACTAGAGCCCCACCCAGAGAAATAGTATTCGACAACTCAATCATTGCTAATGACCCACACCCTTACGATCTACCACGTGTAGCAACCCCACCACGTACTTTAACCCTTGACAAATATCCGTTCCCAGGAGTGGATGAATACGAAGACCAAGACGTCGAAGACCACCTACCTGTAGTAAAAGCCACCCCCAAAGTTCGTATGAACGACGTAAGCTTTCAATTAGGAAATTCTTTTAATGAATCGAACCAAATATATGCTGGTGCCGGAGAGGGACTGACGCCCGCCGAAGAAGTGATGCATTTACGACGACAGATGGCGAAGTTGAATAGGAGGATTATGGCGTTAGAATTGGAGAATATGAATAGATTACAAAAAGAAAAAATAGTCGTTGGTTTCGGTATCGCCTATTTCCTTTTGAAAGTTATAATTTGGATGAATAGGGATTAATGTTTTGAATTTGTGTTATAGAATAGTCTGGGAGGTCAAAGTAGTCCAAAAATTGGTCAGATCAATAAGTATTAATGACGGTTTAAAAACTAAGTCAAAACAAGTGCTGTATTTTTCATATCTACGAAGTTAATCTGTTGTATTATTTTTTGAGGATTTCTTGTGATAGTGCATTCATTGCATTTATTTAAAATATGGAAAACAAGGTTCACATTATCCACCAAGTTAGGTATCAATCGATATTTAGGTTCCTCTTTTTTATAAAGAAACGCTGGATCGACAATACTTCGCGTAAAAAACAGATTTTAAAGTTGTCTTTGTTTGTTGTGTGCAAAAATACATTAATATGTTGTTTAACTATTTAAGATCTTCATTTATTAGATGCAAATATGGTATGATACAAATACAAGTATTAAGGTACGGTTTCCTTGCGACAGCCATTGCTGTAGTCGCAGCCGCAATATAGTGTTTTATTATATGCATTTCTAATTTTATGCGATTTGGATTAGGTTAAAAGATCTTGTTGTATGATGTTCATGGTTTAAGTCGTTTAGTTGACTGATACCGACAAAATGAATAACAGTAACTTTTTAAGTATAATTCTCTTAGAAGAAGAGGAAGAAAAAGAATGGCTACAACTGGGATTATTAGAAAAGGAACGATGTCAGGAACTCGATATATTTATTTTCCAACTGAACATGCTATCCAACTATATCAGGCATTCTGATTGATTATAATCGTAATTAAAAATCGAGAGATAGTTCTGAACTTCTTCCACCAATATCTCATCCTCACTTGCATTGGATTTTGTCATTTTTATTGAACGACTGCAGTTTGACTGGTTCACCTTGCAATCGAGTCGCAACTTCTGTGGATCGATCCTACTGTTTTAAAACTGTAGTCCCAGTCACTATTGCGACTCAATCGCAGTCGCTATTGCGACTCAATCGCAGTTGCGAGCCGCACCAATGAAGCCGTACCTTTACAAAGTATTAAAACTAGACACCGGTGGATAATTAAACAAGTTATTCTGGTTTTGAATCAGGGAAAAACAGGTAGGAAAGCTTGGTGCTTTCTCTCCTGGCTATGGCAAAAGCGATCTCTCGCGGTGAAGTCTGTTGGTAAAAACCGTAGGGTCGGCTAAAGGTCGATCACAATAATGCCTACAAATCGTAATTGTTCTATAATGAATTTTTGGAATGTCGTTTGTTTAGAAGGGAGCTCATATTGATTGTGGAGCTCTAAATTTATTGCCGATAGCATAGGCTTCGTCTTCCTTGAAGCACGTTCTCTGAGCACAGTCCACTGTTTTGACTGTTTCTTTTGATTCATCAACGGTCACGAAACGAAGCAGAAACCTCTTCGAATTGCGCATCAAACACTGCTCTGAAGTGGTCTCATAGTTGCGTTTGTTGTCCGGAGTGAGCAAACGCAGCACCTTCGTGCCGACAGCTTTCTTATTACCCACGTAGTCTTTTGAGATGCATACTGACTCAGCTGTCACGCGCAGCTTCGATCGGTGGTCTACCAATACGAGATAATGAATTTTTGTCACGTTATATATATCACCCATATTGTTCTTTTCCCATTTTTCTAAAATTCTTGACCATAGTCGCTTCCTTAATCGGTCAAAACAAAAATCCTAGTCCGATCCGAGGCTAAGTACTTAACGGTTCGCCGCTGTATTCTACTAAAAGTTGTAACATATTACGCTTTAACTACGAGATTGGTAGTACTGTCATTTATATCAGTTAGAATTTTGGCGCCACGATTCAAATATAAGATAAGACACAAGGAAGCGGCCACTCTCTGATATCAAGCAACCGAATTTCGTCCTTTAGCCATATATTTCGTGATATTCGTCTAAGTAGCCGGTGTGCGCTTTATAGGCTCCCCTTGACTATGGCTTTAGTTGCGGTTTATGACGAGATGGGCTAACGAAAGATAAGCAAAGTACTCTAGTTTCACGGATCCCTGCGCATGCCAGAAAAATATGGAGTCTGCCGATGAGTGAGCAGTACGGTAGGAGATGCGGATTTACTGTTTCAGTTTCGAGACGCTGAAAAAACGGAATATATACTTGTAGACGAGCTACTGAAGTCAAATATAGTTTGAAATATTCGTACTAGAATGTGTGGTAAAGCTAGGAATTAAACACTTGCCAACAACTATCAGTTTGTATCTAGTTATAACCCGGATATGAGTTCTGATATTGGTATGATTAGATCTAAGTATATAAAATTTTTATATATGTGACAGATATTTAAATTTAAAAAATACCTTAAAAAGTAAGCAGGAAGTTTGATAATTTGACGTTTTGAACATTTTAATTTGAAAACTGACTAATACTATTATCTGTCTCGACTTTTGTAATCTTATCACGAAAAAGTAAGGATTGCTTTGGACCTCCTGTAGTCTAATGTATATCTTAAAAAATATTTTATTAATAATAATTGGTATTACCATCATATTATATTGACTAAAGACAAATGACTGTACTTTTAATTTATTTTTCTTGGTTATAGTTGTAAACGATTGAATTTTTAAGTAACATTTATTCACTGGTTATTTACATTTGTATTCTGTAAATTCAATCTATTTTTTTCAATAAATTGTTATCTTAAAAAAGGTATTTATCTTGAAGAAGTGAGTGCCAAATCTTTCCCTTATCCTACAAATAGTTTACCAGATGTAGGTAGCGACCATAGCCTAGTATTATGTAAAATAATCATTCTGAAATACTTCGTACCTAAGAGAGTGGCGCCTTCAAACCAAAATCAAAGTAGAAAGACTAAATACGGAATACTTACTTATACAGAAAAAAAATATCAGAGAAGATCGCTGAAAATAAAATATTAGGAAACGATAACATCGGGGAAAGCTGGGAAAAACTCAAAAATAACATTATTAACGCAGCAACAGAATCACTTAGAGAGAGGACAGTAATGAACACTAACATATCAAAAAAGAAAACACCCTGGTTCAGAGAGGAAGTAAAGACAAAATGTGAAGAAAAGATGAAAGCTATTTTTCAATATAGAACACAACAGGCATACAACCACTATAAACAAATCAGAAATGAAACGAATACTTTAGTTAGACAAATAAAAAGGGAACACTGGCAGAGCTTGTCAATACAGGTGGAACACGACTTCTACGGAACACAAAAAGAAATAAGGAGAATGATAGAGGACAAGAAAAGAGGTAAAAGAACTAATAAAAACGAAACACATTCAGAAGTAAACATGGGTATGGGTAGACTGTTTTCGATTCCTGTTTGCTAAAGGTGACGACAAACGAAGAAATAAATATTGAGGAGGAAGAGGTAAATGAAGTATTAAGGAAATAAAAAAATAAAAAGTCGCCAGGAGAGGACAGAATAACTAAAATTTCCGGGACTTCAGAACCGGGAAAATTTCAAAGGAATTAATTTATTAAATACAACACTAAAATTAACAACCAAAGTGATAACAAAATTGAATAAACAGCACTAACAGAAGAACAACAAGGTTTTAGGTCGGGAAGATCATGCATCAACGCTATATTTAAAATTAAGCATGTGCAAGAGGAATAATCAAAACTATCGAAAATAGAACTAACCAACCCTATTGAAGGTGGCAATGATATAAAACAGGAAGACTCCCTGAGTCTTCTATTCTTCAACCTGATTATGGATAATAAAAAAAGTAAGAAATAGACATTGATACCAAATGACTTAAAATAATCTGCTATGTATAGACCGACAATATTCAATTAAAGGTGACTAATCTACAAATTGAACGAAGTGCTAACGGCAACCATGCTAAAGCTCTGAAGTAAATTCTTACCGGAGTCATTTTTATTGTGTATGCTTCGCCCATGTAAATAAGTAAAAAATTAAGATAGTCCCATAAAATTTGCCCTTGTAACAATACAAATTGGTGCGATTCACGAGCGTATACTTCGACAAGTTCATTGAATAGGTTGAGGCGTCGGTAAACTTATCAACATTTCTCTGGTCTGTGTATATTTACGTTCTTAGAAAGAATGGAAATGAGAGAAATATGATAGTTTAGTTTATTCGTTCCACGTTCTATATTTGCATAGGCGTAGTGTGTTATATTTCTTGGGAATATATTTATTAAATAGACTTCTATTATTAACGTTAAAATAGTTTTGAGGTAAGAAAAGAAATTGATATAAGTTTATTCTTTTTATAGCATAAATCCATTAACGACCGATACAATAAACAAAGAGAAATTTGATAATTAATTTAACAGATTGGAATAAAAACACATAAATTAAGACTAATTTACAACCAAAAACATTTTTTTTTCTCATTTTCAAGGAAAAATAGTACAAGTTTTATTAAAGGAACATATCGTATCTTAAATGTAAATTAAATTTTAATGTGAAAATTTTCGAAACATTCGGGGTGCAGATGCACTCTACACATTTTACATACATAAATAGTCTCTTATAATGTGCACTTCTTTATCCTCATCCTTCGACCAATACATATCAACTTGAGCAGAGTGTAAACCAGATAATATAGGTACATATGTCAATAAATTTTTTAAATCTATATCATTCATTTCAAAATCTTGGCGGTTATTCTGCGATGCATAAATATTTGTAAAATATAGAATGCCCTCAATTACTTGTTTATCAAAAAAGGGTGAAAAAACTTCAATATAAATTTGCCTCCATTGTCTAAATATCATTTACTGGTGGTGAATTCCTGCTGAGTACAAAGGAGTATCTGTGGTTGCCCAACTTGAGACAAATTTGGTTTTACTATTTTTGTCTGTTTTTTTCTTTTACGTTTTATCTGCGGTTTAGAGGAATATCCGAATACCAGATTCGTCAGAATTCCCAATCACTTGTATTTCATATGTACCTGCAATATCCGATTTTATTCCTTCTTCACAAATAATATTATCATCGATGTCTTCTACATCGGAAACTTCATCTGATTCCGACGGCAAATAAACTTCATTAGTGAATCATAATTTCACAATCTGTCTTCTTCTAACAAAGCTAATGCACTACTATATACAGGCATTCACATGATAATAGTGTAGCTTACTTTATATTAATTTATATGAAATATAAAACAAATAAACACAAGGAAACTTTCAAATCAAGTTAAAAAAAAAAACAAATATACCGTTTACACCACACAGTCATTCTAGAAATAGAAAATGAAGTGCAATAACGAGATTGTATATTAAAATTTTAGATTGTTTAGTCTAATGAAAAAATAAGTATTTTGCAAAGGTTTCTGTGTTTTGAAGTACTGAATTAAGTTCTCTATAATAACAATAAAATTTTACTGTGTTTAAATAAATAATTAAAATATTATTTTGGTACGCTCCTGCAACGTTGATAAGTATAATATGATTTTGTCACTTTAAGTGCGATGTTGCCAAGTAATCACCTTCAATTAAAATTTGTTTTAGTATAGACGATGCAATACTACTCTCTCAAAGTGAAAATGATTTAAAACGTATGGTGCACCAATTTAATATAACCACCAAAAAATTTAACATAATTTCACCAAAAAAAAAAAAAGACAAAATGCTTGGTTATAACAGCAAATTTACTAAGATGTAAATTGGAACTGGAAGGTCAGATAATAAAACAAGTGATGGAGTTTAAATATCTAGGCATCACATTATCTAGCTATGAAAAGCTCGAAACTGAAGTGGAAAATCAAGTTGAATAGAGCAAACATAGCCGTAGATTACCTGAATGAAACAATATGGAGAAATAAAAATTTCGGGAAAGAAAGAAAAGGCAGAATTTACAAAACAGTCATCAGACCAATCATGACATACGCGGCAGAAGCACGACCTGATAGAGAGAGGACAAATAGAAACAGTAGAGATGAAAACACTTAGAAAAATTGATGGTAAGACAGTATGGGACAGAGCTAGTAGTACTGATATACTACGTAGATACAAGGTGGAGAAGATCAAGAACTGGGTAAGAAATAGAAGAGTAGAATGGAACGATCATAAAGCCGAATGACAAATCCCCAATAGGAAGACGATCGGTAGGAAAACCAGGAAAGACAACTTACTGGAGGCACATTAAAATCAAACAAAGTCATGTCTATATAAAAAGAAGAAGAAGGCACTCGGTCAATACTAAACATTTTTGTTAGATCATCAGATGTAAAAAAAAAACAAAAAATTCAAATGAAAGCTTAAGTCAATTTGTTTAAAAATGCTCAATTTCATTTAGCCTAGAATGCTTAGCAAGAAATAAATCCTAATTTATCTGGGATTATTTATTCTCCAGGCATTACATAAACCAATAATATGTTTAGAAAAAATGAATAATAAATAGAATAGGATAATTTGTTTGTTTCATAAATAAAATAATAAAATATTTATACATAAAATAAATAAAATATTTACGAAGTTTATTAAAGAAGTTGATATATTAATCATAAATATTTATTTTTTACGATAAAAATTATGAACAACAATCTATCTTGTACAGGGTGCTCAATTAAACTATATCAATCTATCTTGTACAGGGTCCTCTATAATGTAGAGCAAGCTATAATTTAATGTAGGTAGTAATGTAGTAATATGTTAAGCAGGCAATTGATATATAGAAATTTAATTCAATTCCCCTGTATCGCAGAAGAAATACAATCCAATTTTTAGATGTTAATAAATAAATGAAAGGAAATTTGGTGGTCCATGGTGGAAATGTGGTCCATTGCTCAATGCTACAATTTTTGATTCTAAATAATTTCGTTTCAGTGAAATATTTATTTAAAGTGATATATGGTTGAATGCTCAAATAAATAAACTTTCTTCTAATAAAAGGCAGATATCGAGTACAGTTTTATATTAAATCTTGCCCAAGTACTTTCGCGCTCAGAGCATTTTCAGGGGAATTTCGTCAAAATTATAGGCTATCCAACAATTTTAGGAATGTCAAAAACATTAAATAATAAATTTACACAACACTAGACAAAGGATAAACTGTTTAAACATTTTTATAAATTGATGAATTTTTAATTAGGGTAAGGAGGAATGGTGGCCGCTGGAGTAATGGTATAGCCATGGAATATTTACATTCACGGCCTAATATTATTTAGCGTTTAATACCTGTTGCGCCATCTAACAAGCTAGCAAGTAAACAACTAAGCAAGTTATCGGAGAGGCCTAAAAATCAACATTTTCAAAGACAAAGTGGATGGCAGTTGGAAAGATCTATATAGATCAAGGTCTGCTTTCTCTTAATGGAGAAGAGATAGAAAGGGTAAATCATTTCAAATACCTTAGCAGCTGGTTAAATGTAAATTGTGACTGTAATGAAGTATCTCTTATTAGGTACAGTTTGAACGAAACACTGTTAGATGGCGCTTCTTCTTCTTCTTTGGGTGCCGTGTCCGTATTCAGACGTTGGCCGTCATCATGCTTACAATTTCCTGAAACCTTTCTCTGTCGGCTGCTGCGCGAAATAATTCTTCTACTGTGAAACCACACCATTGTCTAATATTACGCAGCCATGAAAGTTTCTTTCGACCAATCCATCTCTTTCCTTCCACTTTTCCTTGTATTATAAGGCGAAGTAAATGGTATTTGGGTCCTCTAATTATATGGCCGAAGTATTCTGTT